TGTGTGAACTTTTTCATGGGTTTTTACAATAGAGGTCTCATACAATATTTGTCCTTTTGTGATTGACTTTTTTCACTCAGCATAATGTCCTCCAGTTTCATCCATGTTATGAGATGCTTCACAGATTCATCATTGTTCTTTTTCATTCATTTTCATTTCTGAGTGGTATTTCATTGTATAAATGTACAAACCTTTTTATCCATTCTCTTATTGATGGACCCTTGGAATTTTTCCAGATTTAGGCTATTATCAATAAGGCTACTAGAAACATTCTTGAACTAGTCTTTTTGTAAGCATATGCAGTCATTCTCTCCAATAAATTCCCTGGAGTAGAATTGCTGGGTCATAACATATGTCTATGGATCATTTTATTAAATTTTGGCAGTTCTTCCAAACATGCTTTGAGACTTCTCTATTTCTCTCTTCCTATTTTTCTCCCCTGCTACCATGGTAAAGTATCTTCCTTCTGCTTCTGTTATCAGCCTGATTTCTAACCTGATTTTCTTCCCCACAGGACAAGAAGGGGTAGTCACCCCTCCTGGAGGCTCCCAAAACAATGTAGACCCTACAGACTGCCAGATCTTTACACTCACCCCTCCTCCCACCACAAGGAATCCGGTGACTAGGATCCAGCCCATCACAAGAACACCCAAGTGTCCCTTCCATTTTTTTCCACCAAGAAAGCCCGGAGTCTACTTCAGGTTCCAGTACAGACCTTTCCTCCCTCCAAAGTGCAACCACCGTTTTCAGTACCAGCCAGTTTTTTGGCCACTTGGTCGCCACATTCCTCATTATAACTATTTCCCCAGAAGAAATCTCTGGAGAGGCAGTTCATCTGAGGAAAGCTGAAAGAAAAAGGAAGTCCCAAACTGAAATGAAAGAAGCCAATGCCACAGAAAAGGCAATAAAAAGACTTCTGTTATCTCTTTCCAAACTAAAACTATTGGAGTTGAAGATTAAGTATTCTGAAATCCACTGACTCTAAATTGTTCTTGTCAGCAGTGAAGATACTGGTTTACAGGTTCTTTGTGTTTTGCAACATAGTGACGGTGACTACATCATTCTTACCCTCAATTCTTTGTAATTGCAGGATATTTATGCAAACAAAATCTCAAAATGAATAATTCCAGTAATTAATATCCATATTGAGATGCCGGAAGAGTCAATCTCTTCTTCTAAATTGGAGTGAAAAGCATTTAAATAAAGATCAATATGAATCGAATGAAGACACTAATGACATGCTTTTCTACTCATTGGAAAACTTACAGCACAAGGTGCATTTACAAAGTGAACTTTAAAACAAATAATAAAAAACGAAGTAAAACAAAGCTGTGGGGAGAGTGACTGTCGATGATATTTTAAAGATACCATAGACTGAATTGTTGCTGTTAGTTGCCATTGAGTCGATTCCAATTCATAGCAACCCCATGTGAACAGAGTAGAACTACTCCATAGGGTTTTTGAGGCTGTGACCTTCCGGAAGTAGATTGCCAGGCATTACTTTCAAGTTGCCTCTGGGTGAGTTTGAACCACCAACTTTCGGTTAGTAGTCCAGCACTTAACCATTTGTGCTACCCAGAGACGCCTATAGACTGAATTATCTAACACAAAAAAAACTCTTTTCTTTAACTGTAATATCTAAATTTATTTTAATGTTAACTTTTTCAGCAACGAATGCAAATTAGTTTCATAAGTTAGCTCTCTGTTTCTCCCATTGTTGTCATATAGATACTAGCTAAAATTATACACTTCCCTAAAACATTCAATATGGTTCTAGTCTCAGTGACCTGATTAAAAGGTTACATGGATGTTCCTGTGACCCTGAAACTCCATAGACATAAATTCACTCCTCTACGGGAAACTAGGAGCCTTGGTGGAGCAGTGGTTAAGACCTCCGCTGCTAACCAAAACGTCGGTAGTTTTGAGTCCACCAGTCACTCCTTGGAAACCCTATAGGGCAGTTCTACTCTGTCTTATAGGGTCACTATGAGTCGGAATTGATTCGACGGCAACAGATTTGGTTTGGTATGGGAAACTTGTATTCTTGGCATGCAATATGAGAAATAAATCCCACAGATTGCATTCATTGGCTATTTGTTTGGCTGCTCTGTAAAACACTGTCTTCTGTTTGTGCCGCTTATCTTCCCTATAACATAGGAACTTTGGTTTTGCATATGGGGTCAGTGGCTAAGGTTTGTAAAAGTTGATGCTGTTGTTGCTTCTACAAAAAAAAAAAAAAACCATTGCCATCAAGTTGAGCACAAATGGTTTGCACTCAGCTGCTAACCAAAATGTTGGCAGTTTGAATCCTTTTAGCGTTACTGTGGAAGAAAGGCCTGGCAATCTACTTCCATAAGACTGCAACCATTGGAAACCCTATGGAGTACAGTTCTATTCTGACACATATGGGGTCACCAACAAAAAAGGAGGGGAAATATAGATGAGAATCTGGGGATGGTTGCCTGGGAAAAGATGAGAGAGATATAAAATCTTCATGCTGTGCTTCCTTGATATATATTAAAAGATAAAAAGAAAAAAATTTTCCCTTACTTACTTCATGTTGTTGTTGTTAGAAGCCATGGAGTCAGTTCTAACTCAGGGCGATCTTACATACAACGGAACGAAATGTTGCCTAGTCTTGCACCATCCTCACAATTGTTGCTAGGTTTGAGCCTGTTGTTGCAGCCACTGTGTCAATCCATCTGGTTGAGAGTCTTCCTCTTTTTCACTGATGCTGCTTTACAGAGTATGATGTCCTTCTCCAGGGACTGGTCCTTCCTGATAACATGTCCAAAGTACATGAGACTAAGTCTCGCCATCCTTGCCTCTAAGAAGCACTCTGGCTGTACTTCTTCCAAGACAGGTCTGTTCGTTCTTCTGGCAGTCTAGGTGGGATTGGCTACTTTTGAAGCCATGAGAGTCCGTTGAAAAGTTGTGATAACGCTTAAATGCATCTTTTGGGTTTTTTTGGAAGAAATAGCCTGTGTAAATCAAAAGTTCTAATTATCCCAAAAGTGCATAACCTGAATCTGATCATCAGACAGACACAAACTGAGGACACTTTACAACACAGCTGAATATTATTGGGATAACTGGTAACAATACTCTTTGTCAATACCATAATTCAAGTGCATCAATTCTTCTTCAGTCTTCCTTATTCATTGTCCAGCTTTTGCATGCATATGAGGCGACTGAAAATACCATGGCTTGCATCAAGCGCAACTTCATCCTCAATGTGAAATCTTTGAAAAAAAATTTTCCTTTACTCACTTCATGGCAAGTTTTTATTAAAGGACAGATGTTTGTTTCCAAATGACAGATTTAAGTAAAAATGTACTTGAAATCTTCGTCAAGAAACTCTGTATTGTGTAATAGGCCTTGCTCTCTGTTTTGGTTAATGGATACATAACCATAAAACGGACCATGTTGGGCAAACTTGAAGACGTAAAAAGATTTGTATTTGAATCTCACCTCCCTTTCTGGCCCTTCTCCCTTTATGCTGGCATGCTAACCTAGGTACTCAGTGCCCTCAGGTGTCCCCAGCTGCCCATAACCAACCAGACTTTAGCTGCGCATTCTGTCCTCAGACACTAGAACTTTTGCCATCCAAAATTTAACTGTTCTGAAATGTAGTCCCTTAAGGCCTTGCCAGGTGATATGTAAATCTCAGATAAACTAAGACAAACTAAAGATAGATAAACAGCTGAAACATGTTAGTCACTGCATCCATCATAGAAAGAAGACTATTCCTATAGTGTTTCATAGTGAATGCCTTTTTCAAAATAATTAGGCAAAATTGTATCATTCCTCACCCTGGAACATGCATAGAGTTGTCTATATGAGAAGCAGCTCACAGCTGCAATTAAAACCATACGCCTTCATGTAGAAACTGTTGAATTGATGTGGTTTTGCTGTGTATATTCTCAACAACAACAACAAACTAAATAAAATTTAGGGGAAAAAAAGATTATTTTCGCTACCCTAGGTCCTTTACATTTTCACATTAAGAGAAAAAAAACTATACGCCTTTGTGACTTTCAAAAAAAAATGCATCAAGGGAGAATGAAGAAAACCAAAGACACAAGGGAAAAATTAGTCTAAAGGACTAATGGACCACAACTACCACAGCCTCCACCAGAATGAGTCCAGTACAACTAGATGGTGTCCGGCTACCACCACTGACTGCTCTGACAGGGATCACAATAATGGATCCCGGACAGAGTTGGAGATAAATGGAGAACAAAATTCTAACTCACAGAAAAAGAGTAGACTTACTGCTCTGACAGAGACTGGAGAAACCCCAAGAGTATGGCCCCCAGACATACTTTTAGCTCAGTAATGAAGTCACTCCTGAGGTTCAACCTTCCGCCAAACATTAGACAGGCCCATAGGACAAAATGAGACTAAATGGGCACACCAGCCAGGGGCAAGGACAAGAAGGCAGGAGGGGACAGGAAAGCTGGTAATGGAGAAGAGAAGGGGAGAGTGTTGACATGTCTTGGGGTTGGCAACCAATGTCATAAAACAATGTGTATATTAATTATTTAATGAGAAGTGACAATAAAAAAATTACATCGTTCTTTTGGGTTAATAAATTATTCTTTTATAATGCAGTGCTCCCTAGCAGGTTTATTGACTCAAGGGAATAGTCAGTAATACCTCAAAGTGAATTAGTTTACCAAATATGTTTCTTCTAACATATAGGTGGGATTAGCTGCTTTTGAAGTAATGAGAGTCTGTTGGAAGGCTGTGATAACTCTTAAACGCATCTTCTGTTTTTTTTTTTATAGAAACAGCCTGTGTAAATCTAATGTTCTAATTATGCCAAAAATATATAACCTGAATCTAATCATCAGACAAACCCAAACTGAGGAACATTTACAACACGACTGGGCCTGTAGTCTTCAAAAAATATAGATGTCATAAAAGACAAAGATTAAAAGAGATTAAAGAAAAAGAAAAAACAATTAAATCCAACATGTGATCCTAGATTGGATCCAATATCGGGAGGAGAGGGAGACTACCATAAAGGATATAATTGGCATAACTGGCAAAATTTGAATATGGACCGCTTATTGAGTAATAGTATTGTATCAGTGTTAAATGTTCTGAACTTGATAATTACGTAAGAGAACGTCAGGAAACAGCAGATCCCTTGTATTAGACACTGGCTTCATCAGGAAGGGTGCTGTCAACCTCAGCAGTGATGAAATGCCTTCAAGGGCTTTGTGGGCAGCAGGTGTCAACAAGTCACAGCCAAACCAGGAAAGGAAGGATGTGTGGGATACGTGGGGTCTGCTGCTGAGTCATTGGCTCGTGGTACATTCAAGCCACGGTAAACACTGGCGTTTGCTAAATTCCTGGTTGAAAATAAACATTTAAGAAACAGCCTATTTATTTTCATAAATTTTACCTTCTGTCATTCCAAAAGTTATCTGAAGAGGCATCCAATTTTGATAGCAATATCTACAAACTTCCAGAAAAGCTGCATAATCTATAGATAGAAAGCTGGCTATGACTCTAAGGAAAACAGGGGTTATAATGTGCTGGTACTTTTATCACATAAGAAAAATTAAAGAGAGCCACCACTTAGCATTTTCAAGCACAGAGCATATTTGACTTATTTTTATAATAACGTGTAAGTAGACACCAGGTTCTTATAGGAACCTCCAGGTTCGTTCCAAACAGCAGAGAGACACAGCCCAAGGATGGGCAACACAAAAGAGGTAGACACAACTAAAGAAGTCAATTTGTGTGGGGCAAGCAATTCTATACACCTCCCCAGCTCCGAAAGGCATCACCAAGTGAAACCACAGGATCATCATAAAAATAGCTCTTAATAGTAGGAT